GAGCTGAATAAAGCCTCTTGTCTTAAATTACCCAGACTGAGGGGCTAGTCCTCTGGTGTAGTGATTAAGGGAGCCAGATCCTACATCCTTAACTAACTGTGGTTTGAATCCCAGCCCCTGGTGGCTTGAAATACATGAAATACCTGCATTACATGAACATGCACACCAAAAATCCCAACAGGATGAAGAAATGGTACAGAAGGGATGGCAATATGACCATGTCCCATTGGGGAGTGCTCTCTCTCTCTCTCTCTTGCACACACATGCAGCCTTTGGAAATTTAAAAATAATTACCCAGTCTTGAACATTTTTTGTTATTAGTAATAGAATGGACAAGAACAACAAGAAGCCACAGTAGTATAACCAGTGTCTGTGACTTAATCATTAATGGAAATCACATATATTTTCATATATGATAGGTGTTACATATATCTCAAAATATTGTTTGTGTTTACCATTATTTCAGTGTACAGTAGTTATTAGATCCACTCTAGATGTCTTTACTTAATGAATTAATAATTATATATAGGGGCCAGAAGGTAGCATGGTGGTTAAGAGTGCTGGACTCCCACATGGCTAACCATGGTTGAAGTCCTGGACCTGGCGGATTGCCTTCTCACTTTCCCTCTCTCTCTCACTCTGTCCTTCTCTGGTAATAAATAATGAAGTTAAATGAAGTTAAATAAATAAATATTTTTAAATTTTTCTTTAAAAATATAATTACATATATTACCACATCACAGATTTTGTATTTGATAACTCTATTTCAGTACAATTTGTTTCCTTTATAATCTTATACATTTCATTTTGTACATTTAGAAATATTCTGAGAAGGACTAGCAGATGGCATGGTGGTTAAGGTTAAGGTGCTGGACTATCACATGCTCAACCGCAGTTCAAATTCTGGACCTGGCGGCTTGAAAAATCACACTGGGCAGGTGTGTGTGTGTATGTATGTATGCTATTTCAGTACAATTTGTTTCCTTTATAATCTTATACATTTCATTTTGTACATTTAGAAATATTCTGAGAAGGACTAGCAGATGGCATGGTGGTTAAGGTTAAGGTGCTGGACTATCACATGCTCAACCGCAGTTCAAATTCTGGACCTGGCGGCTTGAAAAATCACACTGGGCAGGTGTGTGTGTGTATGTATGTATGTGTCCCCCAAATCACAAGAAAATGGAGAAGGGATTGCCACCCATAATGGGGGGGTGATTTCTCACTTTCCCTCTCACTCTCTCTCTCTCTCTCTCTCTCTCTCTGGCAAGCACACACACACTGTGGCAAAAAAAAAAATTCTGAGAAGGGATCCATAGGTTTCCTAGACTGCTAGTGACATAAAACATTAGCAAGCCCCTTTCTAGATGTTGATGACTCTCAGTCTGAATTCTTCTGATCTCCAGGTCCATTGCAGTTAAACTCCCAAACATCTATACTTGGATATCTAATGGGAACCTCAAATTCAGTATGCCCCAAATTAAACTCATCAACCTCTACCACCTCCTTTCTCATCAAGTCTGAAATTTGTTGTGTCCTCTACCACAATGAATACGATTAATAGCCACCCAGTGTACAAGTAAGAATCCTGAGTTGTTCTATCTCTTTCCTTCACTTGCAACCACTTAAAAACCAAATCATATCAGTTCAATTTTTTCATTGTTTCTCAAATTCATCCATTTATCTCCTTTT